GTATCAAGCGTACTGTCCACACAGCCACCGGCCCGGTGTGTGTAATTACCTAAGTGTAGTTACAGGATGAGAGCTACGCTCGTGGTGTCCCGTCTTCCCAGCACTCTTTGTCATATAACGCTTTGAAGCTACTGACGGTTTTGGCCTCCACCACCTTCTCACCTAACTTGTTCCAACCGTCTACCACTCTGTTTACAAAAGTGAATTTTCTTATATTTCTCTGGCAGCTTTGTTTCTTTAGTTTAAATCTATGACCTCTTGTTCTTGAAGTTCCGGGTCTCAGGAATTCTTCCCTATCAATTTTATCGATTCCTGTTACTATTTTGAACGTAGTGATCATATCACCTCTTTTTCTTCTATCTTCTAGTTTTTGCATATTTAATGTCTCTAACCTCTCCTCGCAGCTCTTGCCCTTCAGTTCTGGCAGCCACTTAGTGGCATGTTGTTGCACCTTTTCCAGTTTGTTGATGTGCTTCTTAAGATATGGGCACCACACAACTGCTGCATATTCCAGCTTTGGTCTAACAAAAGTCATAAACAATTTCTTTAATATTTCTCCATCCATGTATTTAAAAGCAATTCTGAAGTTAGAAAGTGTAGCATAGGCTTCTCGCACAATGTTCTTAATGTGGTCCTCAGGTGACAGTTTTCTATCTAGAACCACCCCTAGATCCCTTTCTTTGTCAGAATTCTTTAAAGATTTCTCACATAATTTATAGGTTGTGTGGGGTCTATGTTCTCCAATTCCACATTCCATAACATGGCATTTATTCACATTAAATTCCATTTGCCAAGTCTTGCTCCATATACTTATTTTGTCCAGGTCTTCTTGAAGGGCATGACAATCATCTAGGTTTCTTATCTTCCCTATTATCTTAGCACTATCAGCAAACATGTTCATATAATTCTGTATTTCCACTGGTAGATCGTTTATGTAGACAATGAACATTACTGGTGCAAAAACTGAACCCTGTGGTACTCCACTCGTGACATTCCTCCAATCTGATACCTTGCCTCTGATTACGACTCTCATTTTTGTCAGTTATGAAATTTTTAATCCATGTTAGAAGCTTACCTGTCACCCCTCCAATATGTTCCAGTTTCCAGAACAACCTCTTATGGGGAACTCTGTCGAAAGCCTTTTTTAGGTCCAGATAGATGCAGTCAACCCAACCATCTCTTTCCTGTAAAATCTCTGTGGCTCGATCATAAAAACTGAGTAAGTTCATTACACAGGATCTTCCAGATCGAAAACCATACTGTCTGGCTGATATTATATCGTTTTTCTCCAGGTGTTCTACCCATTTAGTTTTAATTATTTTTTCCAATATTTTGACTATTACACTTGATAATGATACAGGTCTATAATTAAGGGGGTCTTCCCTGCTTTCACTTTTGTAGATTGGAACTATGTTAGCCTGTTTCCACACATCAGCTACAACTCCTGTAAACAGGGATGCCTGAAAAATCAGTTGAAGTGGAATGCTGAGCTCAGGTGCACATTCTCTCAGAACCCATGGTGAAACTCCATCTCGACCAACTGCTTTGTTCTTACTTAGTTCCTTGAGCATTTCTTCCACATCGTCTCTAGACACCTCTATGTGCTCTATGTTGTTCTCTGGAATTCTTATTGTGTCTGGTTCCCTATAGATATTATTTTGTACAAACACACTTTGTAACTTTTTGTTTAATGTTTCACACATTTCTTTTTCATTTTCCATGAATCTATTTCCCATTTTCAACCTCTGAATATTATCCTTAACCTGCAATTTGTTGTTTATGAATTTACAGAATAGACCTGGTTCTGTTTTACATTTGTCTGCAATCCCTTTTTCAAAATTTCTTTCTGCCTGTCTCCTCACTGTTGTTTAGTTGTTTCTCGCATCTTTGTATCGCTGGTATGTTTGGGGGTTTGGCCTCTTCCTGTATTGATTCCATTTTTGTGTCTTTTGGTCTCTGGCCCTCTCGCAATTTCTGTTGAACCAATCCTGTTTCCTAGTTCTGCATCTCTGTTTTGGTATAAATTTTTTTGTGCCTTTATCATATATTTCACAAAACTTGATATACATCTCATTCACTTCTTTCCCTAGCAACAAGTCTGTCCAATTATACTCACTAAAAAAAATTCTAAGGTCGCCATAATGTCCTCTTCTGAAGTCAGGTTTTTCAACTGCTTCAACCTCCTTATTTTCTTCCAGATTATAATGCATTGCATACTTTATTCCCAAAAAGACATGGCCACTTTTACCCAAGGGAGGAAGGTACTGAATGTCAAATATCTCTTCCTCCTTCCTGGTAAATATCAAATCTAGCATGGAGGGAACGTCCCCACTTCCCTTATCCTCGTAGCTTGTTTAACATGTTGATACAAGAATGTTTCCTGGATGAGGTCTACAAATCTACAGGTCCAAAAATCTTCTGTTTTAGCTTCATATGCTTCCCAGTCTATGGATTTCAAATTGAAGTCGTCGACTATCAACAGTCGTGACCTATCGTTATCCGCTCTCGCTATAATCTCTCATTATTGTTATAAGAACTTCTCATTTACTATCTAGCTCCTCCTTTGACCATGTGCTGCTTGGCGGTGGACTATATGCATTTATGATCTTTAGTTTATCATCCTCGTGGCAGATCTCTAGTGCTATTATGTCAACTTCTTGTGGATTGGCAGTCATTATTTCCTTCACCTTTAGGTGTTCTTTCACCAGCACAGCAATGCCACCGCCTTTCCTAATTTTTCTGTCTTGTCTCCAAATTGAGTAGCCCCTTGGGAATATGACCTCATTAAAAATAACATCTTCAAGTTTTGTCTCCGTGAGTGCAACAATGTCTGGTGTCTGCAGCTGTATTACATCACTTAACTCCTGTATCTTCGATCTCACACCATCTATGTTGGTGTATGCAATCTTCAGGAACTTGTTCCCCCTCTTTTTATTCTTCACTCCCCCTCTCTCTAACGATTTCGTTGGTTTGCCTTTATGTACCACTTTACATAAAAAGGGGTAGGCACTTTGCCTACCCCTATCACTTTGTAGAAAAAAAAAATTGATTTCTTCTTCATTCCTGCTCTCATTTAAACGTTTTGCCTCGGCGAGGTTCAGTTTCAGCTTCTCTGTGTCTTCTTTTGAAAGATCTCGTCTTAACAACCACACTTTCCCATCCTCCTCACCTTGTAATTTTCTAGCATTCCTTAGTACTTCTTCTATCTGTTTGGCACCGTTGAGGGTGATCCTCAAAGGTCGATCTTTCCCCTTTACATATCTGCCTATTCTCCTGTAGTCGCACACATTCTCTATGGTAGTAAGACCTTCCACGAGGCCAACAATTTTATCTACTACTTTCGCTTCTTCCTCTTGATATGGGCTTCATGGGGACAGGTCTGGCATTATATCAACCCCCAAGTCTTTCTCTCTCTCTGACTGTTGAAGAATTTCATCTCCCAAATGGTACCTTGTATTTTGTCTCCTGCTCCCTACACCTATCTTCATTACATTACATTTGCTGGGGTTGTGTGTGTAACTCACAAAGAAATTAACACATGATGGTGTTGATTAATATGAAAATGTATAATGACAAAGGGAAAATGAAACACTGAACTTGAGTTACGAATGATCAGGTCACATTTGTTAAACATAAGGAGGATGAGAGTACAGTATAGAATTGTTACTGCATCTTAACCAGAGTGAAGATACAGTTATTTTAGCCTTCCGAGAGGGATCGTATTATGAAAATCAAAGTACATTGGCTTTATTTTGACTTTAAGAACACTATCTGATCTTAAAAATAGGTGACTAAATGCAGATGAATTATTTGAATGGTACAAGACCAAGCTAAATAGCTAAAGCTAATTATGTAAATATATCTACCTGATGACTAAGGGCTTAAATAATTATAACCTGTTAATCTGAAGTTAGACTGCAAGATGAATAATATAAGAATAGTTATTCTATTTCAAATCTTTCTCATTCTATATGATTAAATTACATGAAATTAAATGGACTTTTTGTCAATAGAATATAACTATCAGTTTCCTACAATCATGCCAAAATAAAATAACATATTCCGTGATGTCTAGCAAGAGGTCTATATTAACACAACAACACTAATGTTACTGCAGTTGGATGAAAGAAAATGTAAGCTTGATGAAAAAATAAAAAACACGACAGATTCTACTCACTGACATCATCTACGAAAGCGACAGACTCTCGACAAAATAATTCAAACGAGCTCTCTATTTTAACAAGCGTAGTGAACAAGCAACATCTACTTGTGCAATAAAAAGTCTTTGAATATAAAAATCCAGATGTGAGACTTGATAAAAATATAACCAACTAGTTTGAAAAGCCACTGGGTATCACCCAGGAGAGAGGTAAGGCTGTAAATATATATATTGTTACTAAAGACGAATAACGCTTGAAAAAGTAAAAAAACACTAATTATTATCTTAGAAATCATTTATTAAAGAATTTTTTTTTTATTTTGGAAGTGGGAAGAACTCTGTTTAAATTGGGAGAACCTTGAGGAAAACTGGAAGTAATGGATAAAGGAAGAATTACGACAGGAAGCGAGGGAGGATTGGATGCTTATCTGGGGAACTGGGAGGATTGAATGCTTATCTGGGGACTGGGAGGATTAGGTGCTTATCTGGGGACTGGGAGGACTGGGTGCTTATCTGGGGACTGGGAGGATTGGGTGCTTATCTGGGGACTGGGAGGATTGGGTGCTTATCTGGGTAATTAGAAGACCTGGGGTGAGGATTTAAGACAGGGAGAGATGTGACCTCTGCCACCTTGTAGGGAAACAACAATAGAATAATTAAAAACAACAAACACTAAACTACACAATGAGGAAATGCTGAAGAAATTAGTACTCCATTAACAGTAATTCTCATTTTGGTGTAAATACGGGTGGGTGGGTCAAAGTACGAGCAGGTGGTTGTAAATACGGGTGGACGTAAATACGGACGGGAGAGCTCATAGTGTTAGAGTGGATAGACTCACATCAGGATGGTAGTTGTAGCAGCTGGCTGGTCTTTTCCTGAAGTGCTGTAACAGGAGACGGGCACAGTGCATAGTCTCGTTGTAGTCTACCTCGACGGGTTCGATGTCGACCTTCCTCGACTCACACGGGCACAAGTTGTTCACTGCTACTAGGATCAAGTTCGTCGATACCACCTTCTGAACACTAAAAGGCCTGGTGAACAAGTGGCAGTAGTTAGAAGCTGGTCGTGGAATGTATGTGTGTGCTTTGCTTTATTTTTAGTCTTATGTGGTTACACAGGTGTGTGTGTGTGTTTTGCTTGTGGGTGTATTTTTCCATAGGTTTGTGTATGTAAGTGTGTGTGTTGGGCTTAATGTCTGCCAACATTTTGAGGGCAATTGGGGTTACTACTTACTGACCAGCCAACAAGTATACTTTAGTCCTGAATATAGTTCAAAACTAAAGTATACTTTCAGTGTATATGCACCAATAAGTGAGGGTATACATTTCTCTGTGTATACACCCCTTGTGTGTATATGTGTGTGTGTTTGTATTATAAGTGAAGGAAATACAATAGCTACTATGAATTTTAGGCAATACTAAAGAAAATACGATAGTTACTAAGAACTTTAGGCAATACTAAAGGAAATATGATAATTACTAAGGACTTTAGGCAATATTGAAGGAAATGCAATAGTAGCTAAGGACTTCAGGTAATACTAAACGAAATACGATAGTTACTAAGGACTTTAGGCAATGCTAAAGGAAATACAATAATTACTAAGGACTTTAGGCAATACATCATTATTCAGGAACTATTAAATATATACTGTATAAGCTAATTTCATGAATATCTGTGAATGAATTGTCTCAAAAATCTTTGTTTTTAAATGATTATTCAAGGTGCATGAATGATTCTGTTGACATAGTTTAAATTTGCTAAAGCTAGCCTAACACACAAGGGGTAAAATTGTCAAGATTCTTCCCACTCTCACATTACATTCTGAATGGATGTATAACTCGCAAGTTTCTACACACTTGCACCCCTCACTGTTGTACCACCGACTATTCCCACCACATAATCACCAATGCCTCACCACCATTAACACTGCATTAACACATCAGTACCTCACCATTATCATGGCCACTACTCCACCCCCTCAACCATCAACACACTACCTCTACCACAAACAACAACCACCATCACCACTACCATACAACACCCATCACCATCACCACAACACAACTATAAACACACTACCACCACTAACCTTCCACAGCCATTGGTGTGACAGTTAGAGAGCTTCCCCTTCACTGGCTTGTAAGCTCCATCCTGCATCAGTTTCTTATTCTGAAGCTTGTAGAGGTACACCTCCTTGTCGCATGGGCGAGGGTGTGTCTTGTTGATGTAAGCCAACTGTAAGCACGCCAAATGTGGTGTAAAAAAGGACACTTTTCTCCTTCTGGTGATAGCTCACCAAACGCAGCGTTATTTCAGTCATTGTCATAAGCGATGTAACAATGTAATCACTTTGTTACAACACTGTTATGTTTATTGGAAGGTCGATATAACTGTCACAGGGGGATAGGGGTTAGAATTGTGTCATTAAGATGTCTTTAATATTGTTTGTTGGGGAGAATTAGATTATTAAAAAAGTCATCGAATCATATAATAATGTAATAATATCAAATTCAAAATTAAATTTATATACAGAGTATATATATGTATATGTATATATGTATATATATATATATATATATTATTTAAGATCACATAAAATTACAATACAGTACATTATTTACTTCTGAGACAGTCCTAATAGCGTCATAACATATAATCATTATGATTATGTATCATATATTCTAGGATTAGATTTAGAAGCTCAGTGAGTTATTACATTTGACATCTCAAATTGGAACTGCAGCTGGTTTAGCGACATTAATAGTTACAACAGCAGGGCATTTTAACTTTCAGGCAACACATTTGCAACATGCAAGGTAACCACATTTGAAAATTGGAATTACAGTAAAGCCCTTGCACTTTTATATCTTCTCTCGGGTCCTCATTTGACTCTGACAAATGATCCGAGTGTGTTTGAAAGCATTGTCGAGGTTTTACTTCCCATTTTCAAAGGTAATTGTCTTGAATTGACTGTATTCAAATTTGGTATTTACTCGTATATAAATTAGTCTTTTATATTAGAATTTGATGTATAGTTAAACCTAAATTAGGTTGGATTAGGTTCTGTTGGTGATTATTTGTATTTGAAGCACATGGGTGAAACATTTACAGCAACTCATCCTCTATTTAAGTCCATTCCTTCCAGCGGTCGACCCCACAGATGCATTCATAAATTTTAACATGTTGTTCATTCAAAACAGGAATTTTCTAAAATATAAATTAATATTATAATATATTAGCATATTGTGCATATATTGGCATAGGTTAGGTTAGGTGTTTTGGTTCTGTTGGCGATTATTTGTATTTGTAGTACTGTACGTGGATGAAGCATTTGCATTGTGGCTCGAACAAAATTTGTCAGTGGAGTGCTTGTTCCGGAACTGTTCGAACGTCATCAGTTGTGAGTCATATGTAAATCGTTTTTCATTCATAAACAGGGGGTTTGGCGGGTGCATGGAATGACTTTTGGGTCTTTGTTCAAAGGATGGGCTGCTTTCAGAGGCTTAATTCAAACAGAGGTCGTCAGCAAAGCACTGTTCGACAAACGTTCAAGCATAACCAATTGTTAGTCGAATATAGTGTTTATCCCTCATCAGCCCGTCCTTAAAAACAAAGGCCAAAGTCTTTCTATGCACCCGCCAAACCCTGGATATGAGTGAAAAAAGGTTTACACATGACTCGCAACTGATGACATCTGAACACTTCCGGAATAAGTGCTTTGCTGACAACCTTTGTTCGAACCACAATGCTGTAAATACTTCACCCACGTACTACAAATACAAATAATCGGCAACAGAACCTAAACACCTAACCAAACCAATGCCAAAATATGCACAATACGTCAAAATATAATAACATTAACTTATATTTGAGAAAATTCCTGTTTTGAATGAATAGCATGTTAAAATTTATGAATGTGTCTTTGGAGTTGACCGCTGGATGAAATGGACTTAGTCTGAGGACGGGTTACCCTCATACACAAGGGGGTTTCGCGGCTTGATTAAAGAGTAGTTTATTTTTTTTATGAGGATTGGCTAATATATAGAGGACTGAGGAGGCCTCTCGGAAAATTAAACGAGTCCGATTTTGGGGTTCAGGAAAGGGTTCAAGGACTCAAGAAATGTATAAGGAGTTCAGGAGCATACATGTATGGATAAGTGAGCCTCGAATTTGAAATAATTCACTGGAAAACGCAGCCATTTTTCACAACAGCGTAACTATGTTATGTAGTTATGTCAATGTAACTATGTTATGTATGATATTTTTACCTTGTTAAATTGATAAAACAACTTAACAACATTCGGAAATGCCATTCACCTGGGCTCTAGGGGACTCGAACCGTGGACCGAATGTGTGTGAGACCGAAGCTCTATCGACAGTGTGGCCGAGCTTCAGCCTCACACACATGGGGTCCACTGTTCGAGTCCTCCTACAGCCCACATGATTGGAATGTTTATTTCCACAGAAGTGTGGATCACAATTCAACGTTCGGAGAGTTGTGGTTACATTGTGTGTTTACTGTGACGGGCTCTCAATGCGATAGATTTTACATTAAAAATTAGAATAGTTACCAATAAAAATCTTCAGAGAGGAGAAAGGTACAGAGAGGAATGCACCATCATGCAGGATGAACTAACATAACTTTGTAAAAAAAAAAAAAGGAATATATATATATATATATATATATATATATATATATATATATATATATATATATATACTGTATACAGTATATATTATTTATATTTATAAATGTATCAAACACTAAAACTACCCAAACACGTGAGCAAAACAAGTGACGGTTGACCAGGCAGCGAACAGGCTCTCTGGCGGCCAAAAGCCGAATCCTCGTGCCAGCCATCACAAGTGCAGTACAGCGGCCCCCCCTGCTGCCAAAAATGTCAAACTTCTTACGAATATATAGGCGCCAGAAAACACAAATAATATGTAACAAGCCAAGGGCATGTGAGGATGCAAATGAAAATAGATATGTATATATATATATATATATATATATATATATATATATATATATATATATATATATATATATATATATGTATGTATACAGGCTGCATGTCTCCCATGCCATGCTGGTGAGTCCTGCATCATGTCAACAAAAAAAGTATGGAATGGAGTAGATTACAATTTTAGTTGACTCCTGGGAGAAATCCGCTCGACGTAAGCTATAGGAATGGCTTTACCAGCAGTTTGTGTTGATGGTGACTAGTCCAGCAGGCCAGCTATGTTGACAGTAAAGTTGAGTCAATGTTTAATCAATGATTAATCAACATTATCAACGTTAATTCAATATTACATCAATGTGATTTATCCAGCTTTTGCCAATGGGTCATTGTCGCTGCGTGGCACATCCAGCCCCTTTCAACTGCTGCCAGTACTAATGGAGACTTTCATAACATGTGTCGCAATATGATATGCATTTAGAGAGTTAAGGGAGGAATACATTACAAGTGTTTCAACAATAGTTGTTACCAAGCAAACACTAAACCTAAACTCAACGGTATTTTTAAATAGTTTATATTGTTGCAAGGTTGCAACAACACTAAAAACGTTGTAGTTACAGTGCATGTTTGCTAGATTGCAACTACAGTACTAAGGGAGGAATATATATCACGTGTTCCAACAACATGTGTTGTAACTACCTCAGCTTAGCTGAGATTGAATACAAGATGTGGGTTGCCCACTGCTGCTAATAATTTTATGAGGTATTGCTATTTACAAAGTCTTGTAGAAATACATAAACTCATGGAAGGAGGTGCGCGATAGTTAAATATTGTGCCCGTCACCTCTGATATACCTTAATCTATGAGACTGAGGCCATCAAATCACCACAGAAAGAGTTGAAAATTTATAAACCCGTGTGTTAGCAGACCAGCCCAAGTATCATGCCCACAGAACAGGAAGAGGATAGGGGATCAAGCTTTGGTTTTACTGCCATACAGTGCTTTAAAAAATCTATGAATGAATGAAAACAAAAGGATTAAAGTGCTCAGTGCCAGCGACAGCTGTCAGTGCCGCGGGAGAGAAGCGGAAGAGCCGGATGAGGTCAATAGTAACCGTAACTAAGATAAGATCCAGATGCTCAAAAAAGAAAAATAACAAGAAATATATTTAAACCAATACTATATATACTGTGTGTATATATATATATATATATATATATATATATATATATATATATATATATATATATATATATATATATATATATATCTATATATATATATATATATATATATATATACACACACACAAGAAGCAAATGCAGAGCAAGAGAAGAGGAAGAATGAGATTGGCCTTTAAGACAAGCTGATAAGATCAAGAGTAGTTTGGCTCGTCACCTTAATTTGGACCCGAGGCATCTCTGGTGGCTTGCTCTATGATCGCCCACAGACAGCAACAATACAGGTGTCACAATTACAGCAGTTGACATACATATTCAAAATGTAAGATCATTAATAATATAAAGAACATAGAATAAAAATTATAATAATAATATTGAACGAAACCTATGAGAAATTTGTTTAGGGATTCTGTAGGTACGATAAACCGAAAGAATGTGTTTACAAGATCTCTCAGGATGTTTGGTACATGCGGCATTTGCTGTATTGGTGTGAGACGAGTGTCAAAACAGCCTTTATCCCAACATGCACCCATTGCAACCACAACATTATTTGTTATGTTGCAATATAATGTTGCTACAAAATTTGTGGTTATATTGCATCTTCTAACACAACATTGCTGCAAGGCTGTGGTTGCATTGTGTGTTTGCTGGGATAACTGGTCCTTTGCTGGGTTTTATTCAGAGACAATAGGAGTACTGATTGAGCATCGCTGGAAGTTGTCAGTGGTTGCAGCACAAGTAAACAGACACAAGCTTGTACTCACACATGCATGTACACAGGTCAACACAACAGAACACACAAGGCAGCAGTACATACATACACATACAGGAATAAATGCACGCACACACAAGGCAGCAGTACATACATACACATACAGGAATAAATGCACGCACACACACACACACACTGGAGTCATTGCATTAGACAATCAGATGGAAAAGCGGAGGTTCAAGTGCTAACGCTCGATCCTGCAGGCACAAGTAGGTGAGTACAAATAGTTGAGAACACACACACATTAGTGTATGTGCAATGACTATTTTGACAATGCAATTTTGACTATTACACAAGTGTAATAGTTAAAATACTGGA